CAATTTGCTTGGGAAGTGATTTGATTCTCAAATAAGTGTTCTTACCTTGCCTTTGCAATTCTATGTAGTTTAGATTCATGTTTAGGATCATTCAAGCTAGACATGATCAATCTTGCTTGTGAAGTGGTTCGAATCTCAAACAAGTATTCTTGCCTTGAGATATACGATTAAACAAGGTAATCTGAAACTTACTTCCCTTAGGGTGATTCCTTATCATTTGACATCAGAGCTTTGCATTGGATTAATTCCATATTTTTAAGAGATTTAAATTAATCCAAACAAGTTCACCCTCCTCTCAACAATGGAAGGACCTTCCTTTGTCCTGGCCACCCACACGAATCATGTCCATGAAAGTGTTAGGAACCACGAACCTCCACAATGATATAATATTGTCCACTTTGAGTATAAGCTCTTGTGACTTTGTTTTTTTATTTTCCTAAAATGCCTCATACTAGTACATATGTATTATTTACTTATAAATTTAGGATCATCCCCTTAACTAGTCAATGTGGGACTTCCTCCCAACAATTCTTAACAAAGAGTTCTTCTCCGATGATACTTACCGTGCCAGCTACTTTCTCCTTCTCCACATATATTCACTCACCGCCTCGTTTTCACTTTTTTCCATTGCCCTACAATGTTAGCCTTACCATATTATAATAATAGGACTCTTGTTTTATGCTACATCTTCCATCTCCATGCACATCATAAATTTTAGTTTTCTTCCTTACCTATAACATTATAGAACAGTTAAACCATATTATACCAGCTAGGTGTATCATAAGTGGACTAAGCTCCAAAATCTATGAAACTTTTATATACTTGCTTTTGAATATGTGCTCAACACTGCAGCCGAATAGTTAAATACTTGCCTTTTAATTTCAAAGTTTATTTAATTAAATATAAATTCACAGGAACATCCTTTTAGATTACTGACTGGCCTTTTTTAAGTTATGTTGTTTTATCGTGTAGATTATATATTTTTATTCAATAATATATTGAAATGAGCACTTATAGCTTAGTCCAGGGTTATATATGTAAAGTTATATACCGCAGATAATTATATATATAGGAGATAATTATATTTGATAAAACTATATATAGTAAGCTAAATCATATATATTCTCTCTTATACATGAAGTCATCAATACAAATCTTTTAGCTAGAGTTCTTCTTGCATTTTCTCTCTCATGTTCTTTGTGTTCATCTAGGACGAGTGTGAAGTCATCCATACAAATCCTTTAGCTAGAGTTCTTCTTGCATTTTCTCTCTCATGTTCTTTGTGTTCATCTAGGACGAGTGTGAAGTCATCCATACAAATCCTTTAGCTAGAATTCTTCTTGCATTTTCTCTCTCATGTTCTTTGTGTTCATCTAGACCGAGTGTGAAGTCATCAATACAAATTCTTTAGCTAGAATTCTTCTTGCATTTTCTCTCTCATGTTCTTTGTGTTCATCTAGACCGAGTGTGAAGTCATCAATACAAATTCTTTAGCTAGAGTTCTCCTTGCATTTTCTCTCTCATGTTCTTTGTGTTCATAGTGTGAAGTCATCAATACAAATTCTTTAGCTAGAGTTCTTGCATTTTCTCTCTCATGTTCTTTGTGTTCATAGTGTGAAGTCATCAATACAAATTCTTTAGCTAGAGTTCTCCTTGCATTTTCTCTCTTGTTCTTTGTGTTCATCTAGATCGAGTGTCTGCGTTGTGCAATCCTAACATGAGGGTCTATTAACATTATTTAAATTAAGTTCTTAATGTTGAACTAGTCGATTACTCTTTATTTTTATTATATTTTAGAGCATAATTTGGGTCCCGAAACTTATTTTCTAGCATGCAATTATTATGTGTATAGAACATATTAATAGCTTGGTTTACCATATCTACAACTAATATTTGTAGTTAGATGCCTTGGTTTAACCTGAACTTGTCTTAGCCCATGACCTTTTGGTGGGTTTAGTTCTTTGATACTTTAATAATGGCACATTCGGTAATATAAGTTGTTACATATTATTTTAACTAAATGAAAAAAAAAAAACCCAAGCTAAAGGGAGGTTGTTAGAATAATATACCTTATTAAAGGATACCTTCCCTTTTATTAAGAAAATAAACTTTATACTTAGAGTAATAAATGTAGCTAAATTATTGAATATGCTTTGTTAGGAAATGAAGCAAAGACTTTATAAAAGAGAATAAGATTATGAATGAAATTAAATTATAAGATATGCTTTACTTTGCTTCTTCTCTATTAGAATTAATCATACTTATTATTGAAATTTGTTATGTTAAATGAAGTGTCAATTTTTCATTGATTATTTACTTATTATATTGAGAAATTTTACTTTATAATAAAAAAACTAATAAATTAAAAGAAAAAAAAATGTAAAATTGAGATGAGGAATCACGAATCTCCGTAATGGTATAATATTGTCTACTTTGAACATAAGCTCTCATGGCTTTGCTTACTAATAGAGATAGTATTCATTGATTATAAATCTATGATCATTTCCTAAATTAGGCGATGTGGGACTTTGATCCAACAATAAACAAACCTCGTGTGTAATAGCTGGTTTCATGTTTGTAAGCCTTTTGATATCAAATTCTATGGGGGCTCTTTGCTTCATATGACCTCTTTTTAATGGAGAAAAAGAGGGAAAAAAGGACTAAACTTTACGATTGATTGATATATTGTAAAACGATCTAACTTTTGACTAATTATATATATGAATGTGGCTAATTATTAATAAAAATAGTTTCTATTTTTGATCGATCGTTTATACAATAAAATTGAGAATCATTCTCATAGGCTTTTTTGATGTGAGTTTCAGATTTTAGTGTGGTAGCATGTTTATCGGTCATTTTCTATGAAGGTATTATTTTGAGTTGGGTCGATTATTAACCATTAATTTAGATGAAGTGGGTAGGTTTTTGATTTTATGAATTACTGATTTAATTCATCCCATTAAAAACTATGAAATTTTCAATTTAGTTGATAAAATATATTTTGATGCACATAATTATTTTGCCGTTAATTGAAAAACAAACTTTCGTGTATAAGCAATGACATTAAACTTTTTGAAATAATAGAAACACGGTAACTCAACATCGAATAGTTGGGAGTTAGTTGAATAAGGCGATGTCACAAAATCTTTCTTCTAACCAAGAATCCCATTATTAACTCGAGCATCCAATTTATTGTCAAATAAAAAATTGACTCTTTTATCCATAAAAAATAAAACATACAAAAGATGACAGTTACTACGACAAGAGTTAGGTAAGCAAGCAAGACGGAGAGACTAGAAAAGCCGAGACATGGGGTTCTCTATTTCTAAGAAAATTATCTTCGGGATCTAAAAATCGTAAAAAAAAAAACTTTTATTTAATTGAGGAATGAAAAGACATAAAGTTGCAATAAAAAATAAAAAATAAAAAATAAAAACTTCAGTTGACAAATTATCAATTACAAAGATCTGTTTTTAATTTCAAATTTTGATTGGACCAATTTCTTTCAGTTATCCGCAATCAGCGCATTCTAAATTATTTTATTTTATTTTTTTCTTTTTAATTTTTAGTTTATTAATTAAAAAAAAAAAAGGTTAAATTGAATGCAAATGAATCTTAAATTTGTAATTAAATTTTTAGTAATTTACACATTTAGATTCAATTATCGAAAATTAATCGAATTTTTCTTCGAAGCTATACGACTTCTAATTTTTTTATACGATCATGATTTTCTTTAATACATCGAATCTATCATAGTTATTTTTTAATTAATTTTATTATTATTTTTTTTTTATAATTGATTCCATCCTACCAACTAAATATTTATAATTAAAGTTTTATATAATTTTATTAAATTCATTTATACAAAAGATAATTAACAAAATTTTAAGGTATATAATGAAAATTAAATTAAATTATAATTAATTAAAATTATTTTAATAATCTAACTTAATAAAATTAAATTAGTCTAATTATCTAAAATAATAAAACTTCCCATCCAACGATCATTTGGTACTTATTTTTATAATTCATACCTTACGTGATTAAATATGCAAATATAATTATTATGAGAATCTATAATTATATGAATAATAATAATAATATTATTATTATTATTTTAAATCAATACCAAAGCTATTATTTACACTTTGTTATATACTTTAATAAATGATATCATGATTGTGACAATTTGATGAATAAAAGTTCTATCAAACTTTAGGGTAAATTTTTTTTCTACAAAACATATTATTATGGAAATGATTTAAAAATATTAATGCTAATACATATTTTTAAATTTTAATTTTAAAAAACGATGAAATTATTAACGAAAATTAAACTATAAACGTTCAAATAATTTAAACGCAAACTCAAATAATAAAACTAAATATTTGAAAGTTCGAAGATTACAATAAAATTTATTAAAATTAATAAATGAGTATTTTACATAATTTTGAGATCATATAGTCAAATCGATATTAAAAAAAAAAACACTCTAATACATAGTCGATATTTTTACCGAAAACACTAACTCAATAAAATTTAGGACAGTAAGCACGGGTTGCAAGAATTTCGGTAGAGAATCAGGTTCGAGAGACCTAATATTTCAATCCAGCAAAGGCGACGTCTGACTACTACTAGTACGAATTTCCACTACCAAATAAGACGAGATCTCACCGTGACAAAGAAAAAGTAAACGATAATTATCGAACTAATCCATGATGGGTTTTTTTTTTTTTTTTTTTTGGAGTTGGGAAGTAAATGTGAAATTTGAATACAGTGCGCTCCAAGTTTGAAATGAAATTGGGATCCTTGTGATCCAACGGCTATAAACTGATAAAAACTCTGCATGTGAATCTCTTTAACCTTATCATATTCAAACTCTTCTTCTTCGTTCTCTATAAATACTTTCTCCATTCTTTCCTCTTCTTGAAGCCTTTATTTCATCATTATTCCTTCTTCTCTACGTGAAACAACACAACAAAATTCCACTTTTTTCACCTTTGCCTTCCTTCCCCTCTTCAATTTCTGCACAATTCTCGGATCTGATTACCCCTCCTCTCCCCAAAATGCACATTCTGAAATGGGTCTTGTTCGGCGTGTTGCTAGCTGTGTCGGTTGCGGAGGTGTCGACGACGACGGTGGCGCCTGTCTGTGTAGAGGAAGATAGAGCTTCATTGATGAGTTTCAAGGCAAGAATTGTGCAGGACACGACCGATATTCTAGCGTCGTGGACTGGCAGGGATTGCTGCAATGGCGATTGGGAAGGCGTGTCGTGTGGGACGATGGGACGAGTGACGAAGTTGCAGCTGCAAAGACCGGAGAAGAACAGTGAGATGTTCATGAAAGGAACACTCTCTGCTGCTCTTGGCAATATGCAGTTTCTTGAGGTAATTGTGATAAGTGGAATGAAGCATATTAGTGGCTCCATTCCTGAGAGCTTCTCTGCTCTATCTCGTTTGACCCAATTGGTTTTAGAGGACAATGGCCTTGGAGGAACCATCCCTTCAAGTATAGGTCACCTGTCCTCTCTCCAGATCCTCTCTTTAAGTGGCAACCATTTGAGAGGCCAAATTCCACCCAATATAGGCAACCTTGTGAACCTTCTCCAACTAAACTTAGCCAAGAATTCACTTTCTGGGCCAATCCCACAAACATTCAAAGCCTTTCCTAGCTTACAGTACTTTGATCTAAGCTTCAACGAGCTCTCTGGTGCCCTCCCAGCTCATGTGGGTCAGTTCAAGAACCTCACTTACCTCGACGTGTCGAACAACCAGCTTTCCGGGCCTATCCCTACCGCCATTTTCAGCTTGCCCAAGCTTTTGGACTTGTTATTAAGCAACAACAAGCTCACAGGAACCATTCCTGTCCAAATTGAAGGCCTGAAGTCCATTACAACTCTTTCACTAAGTGGCAATCAGCTAAGAGGTCAAATTCCAGCTTCCATTTCTAAGCTTCAGAATCTATGGAACCTTAATCTATCAAGAAATGGGCTCTCGAATCCATTGCCAACCATTCTTGTAAGCAGCATTCCTTCACTTTTGACAATAGATCTATCCTATAACAGGTTTGTTTTTGGGACAGTTCCTGCTTGGATCAGAAACAAGCAACTTTCAGAGGTTCATCTAGCTGGGTGTGGACTCAGGGGAGCCCTCCCCATCTTTAGAGTATCAGATTCTATAACCTCTATAGACCTCTCAGACAATCATTTCACAGGTGGGATATCAAATTTCATGAAAAACATGTCAAGTTTGCAAAAACTCAAGCTCTCAAACAACCAGCTGAGATTCAGCCTCTCAGAACTCAAATTACCAGATGTTTTCTCCTCTCTTGATCTTCACTCAAATCAAATTTATGGGTCACTCTCAAACATATTAAACAGAGAAACCAGTGGCTTTTTAGAGGTAATTGATGTATCAAACAACCAAATCACAGGCGCTATTCCAGAGTTCACCTCTGGCTTGGGTTTGAAGGTCCTCAACATTGGATCAAACAAGATTTCCGGTCACATTCCCAGCTCAATCTCGAACCTGGGAGAGCTAATAAGGTTAGATATCTCAAGAAATCAAATACAAGGAACAATTCCAACGAGTATTGGAGCTTTAAAGAAGCTCCAATGGTTGGATTTATCCGTTAATTCTCTCACAGGCAAAATATCAAACACCTTGTTGGCAATCCCGCGGCTTCGACATGCGAACTTCAGAGCGAACAGATTGTGCGGGAAAATCCCACAAGGGAGGCCGTTTAATGTGTTTCCAGCCGCCGCTTATGCCCATAATCTGTGTCTTTGTGGGACGCCATTGCCGCCCTGTAGAGAAGCAGAAGAATGGAAATTGTGAAAACGAAGAAGAATCAAAGACTGCCCATTACGAGAATGGCTTGTTTATTGCCGCTCATCATCTCAAATGAGCTCCCATGGCGTCGAGGAGCTATGAATCCACACATTTTAGCTCCGCTCCTTTAAAGTTACATTTCTTGTTCTTGTTCTTGATTTGATTTTACAGTGAACTTATCTTGTTTGCTTAATATTTGATAAACATAAAAGATAAATATTGTTTTTTTTTACTTTCATTAATAATTTTTTGGTATTATATTTTTTATTATTAAATTAACTATTTATTTAGTTTATATACAAATTTAATTCTTATTATATAAAATCTGGTTAATATATATATATATATATATATAATAAATTTTGATAATAAAAGGTAATATTTATTTTAATTTGAGAAAAATTTATAATAAACGAACGGATTCAATCGTTCCGATTATAAATTTTTTTAATTTAAAAATAATAGATTCAATTCGACCCAATTATAAAATTTTTAAATTGAGTTAGTTCGAGTTGTTCAAATCATTTATTTAAATTATTATTTTATAAAATAAAAGGTTAATTTTTTAAACATTTAATTAAAATTTGCGACTCTAATTTTAAAAAATTATATTTTAAGCTGTTAAAAATTATTTTTAAAACTGGGAAAGTAAAAAATTAAAAAATAATTGTGAAATTAAATAAAAAAATGTATAAATAATTAGTTTGCAAGAAAAAGTTTATACTTTAAATTTAATAATAAATTTAGTTAAGCCTTAAGGAAGTTCAATGCCTACAATATTTATTTATTTGAATTTATTTATTTATTTATTTTTGTTGGTTTTGAAAAAAAATATTAAATTTTGTTGATTCAAAATATTTTGAATAGATTCTATGGGTAATAAATACAGGGAAATTCAAAGAAAATAATTACATTTATATTTTTTTTACCATATTAAATTGATGAAAGAGAAATTTTAATAATTTAATAAATTCATTAAAAAAAATTTATTCTATTTATTTAAGATTTTAGGTTTAATTTTAATTTAACATGACATAACATACACTTAAATTCAAATATAATCCAACTTTATAAAATTAAAAGTTTAGTTTAAAATTTAATATTGACCAATTATATAAATATATATATATAAAGTTTTAAATTAAAAAAAAATAAAATTAGGAATTTGGAGACAAGGGGAAGAAAGAGGAGTTTGGGCCATGGAAGCTTAAGACAGGCCTTATTGTTGGGCCAATGGGCTTGGGCCTTGACTAAAAAAGCCCAATCAAACGTTAATAAGCGGGCTATTTTAGTAATTTAATGAACTGATTTATTTTCTATATTTGTGGATTATAAAAGGTAATATGATTATTAAGATTTTTATTGTTCCCATTTTACCCTTGAACTCGTAAAAAGTAATTGACTAATTAAATTACATTACAATATGGAAATATATATTTCATTTACATATGATTCATTTATTAGCTTGTAATAAAAATAATAATATGATTAAAAACTATATTCCAAAATTTAATATATAGTTTTGCAATATTTAGCAAATATTTGGGCCAAATCCAACAAACCCATTAGCCCCATCAAATGAAATTTGAATCCCTCCCTGTTGGATGTTTCCGATTATGGAAAGCCCCGACGGCGACGGAGCAAAAGCGAAGCAGAAAGTTCCGGCGCTGTCAACCGGAATCAGGAAGTTATTCGCCGGAAGCGTCAGCACCGGGCCGTCCGAGAAGTAAAACGACACGGTTGGCACTCGTACGGACTCGAAGCCGTTGAGATTATAACACGTGTCGAAAATCGAAACTCCGGGCGCTCGTGGTAGGTTGCTGGTTTGGGCTGTGAACGAATCGCGGAATGCCACGTAGGCTGCTGTTGGTAGCCGTGTTACGGCGGTGCCGGTGTCCATTACGACGCCGTTGGTTCCGTACTCCGTCAGCTGGAAAGTTTCTTCGGGTATTGGAACTTTGATGCCTCCGACACCGACGCCGGCTAGTCCGATGTAGTAGAAGCTTGGGGCATTTGGGTTTCGAACCAAGGAGATCCACGTGGCACCAACCGGCATTGCTCCGCGGCCAAATTCTAATGTCCCGGTCGAGCCGATACCTCGGCTCACTAAACAGTAGCTAAATGCACCACCGGTCTGACCGCCAAGTTGGCCAACAAATGACATCGAACCACCACCGAGACCGAGTAGCCCGGCAGCTCCAATGAACATCCCTTGGTTGGTATGACCGCACCCAATAGCCATGTCATGAATCATAACCTAGTCAAGAATATCAAGTTTAATAATCATTTGATTTTTAAAATTAAGCTTATAAATACTATTTACATTTATTTAATGAAATTCATGATAATTTATTGTATATAAAATCGACCTTTAAATATATCATAATCTATATGCGTACTAACCTCGCCAATAGTGAGAGTTTCGAGGGCGAGAGTGCCTTTAGTGTAAGACCCATCGCCATACGACACCTCATATCGACACCGTCCAGCATGGCAGCCAGCGTTCTCGAGGCGGTCGCAAACAGCCGAGCCACATGAGACACCGGTATACGAAGTGGACTCGGCCGGGTTGAAAACGGGATCGGACTGTTGATAGCACTGCCTACAAGGTTGACATTGAACCCACACAATGTCACTGCCGGAATCAATCACCATGTATTGACTCCTCGGCGGGCTCCCAACTCCTATCCGAACAAAATACTCTCCATTCCCCTCTTCCATCCCTAATTCCAAATCATTCGAAAAATGGAAAAAAAAAAATCATAAATGTAAATATTGGATTTTAACGGGTATTATTTAAAAAAAAGATTCTCTCACCTGAAATGACACCCGTCCCAAAATTCGCCACCTTGTAATTATTATCTTGAACGCCGGAGCTATCAGTGTCATAACGAGATAGACGGCGGACAAGGGTGGCAACTCGTTTGACATCTCTTTTGATACGCTCATCGAAGCCCTGATGTTGACCATGGATGTGAGGGAGCTCGTCTCGATGAACAAGTTTGAGCTTAAATTTAGTATGGTTAGATTTTCGACCCGTCACCAACCGGTGACCGTTGGAGAAGTTAAGGATATGAAGAATTTGACTATCATTAGCATCGAACTTGCTCGATTTGACATTTAGATATTGAAACTCGACCGGAGAAGAACGGCTGCCAAAGACGACAGAGACCGAGAAGAAGAGAAGAAGAGAAAAGTGAAGTTTTAGGAGCATGATTGGCTTATTGGAAGGGAGAATATGGAACCACAAGGCATTTACTTAGGTTGGGTTAAATATGCAATATTTGAAAAAATTAGAGACGAAAATGAAAAAGAAAGAAAAATGTGGGCCCTCATTAATTTAATTCTAAAAAGTTTTGGACTGATTGAGAAATTTAGGTCAAATTGTGTTGTGGGAGTGGTTGTATTGCATTCCATTTCAAACCGTGATTTGTGACGTAATCACTTAGATTATTGTAATATATATATATATTTTAAAAATTTAAAGAAACAAATTTATAAAGAAAATGCATTAAATAATTTCATATTAAAATTTTTTAATATAAGAAATAAGAAATAATGTTAGGATTCACGACACTTCACGATGGTATATTTGAGCATAAACTCTCATGACTTTGCTTTGAACTTCCCCACTTATAAACCCATAATCTTCCACTAAATTAACCAATGTGGGACCCACTCACAATAATCCTCAACAAATAAGAGCGTTATCAAAGGGGTTTCTTACTTTTCTGTACTTGATCCACGAGCTTGTATAAATTTAAGTTATGTCTGGATTATTTTATTCTTATTTTTTTTGGATATCGTGAGAATTCGAGCTACCAATTACTCGATCCTATCTTACTCGACAATACTTAATTATCAAGAAACTCGAGGGTCGATACTTAGTTATCAAGAAACTCGAAGGTCAATAAATCAACTATCGCCACTTGCCAACTATGACTTTTAACAAACCTTTTTTATCAAATATATATATATATATATGAATTAAATGAATGACCTCATAGATAGAAAAATTATTAGGTTAATTTATACAAACAAATGAAATAATTTAATAATTATTTAATATTTTCTTAAACTATATTATATTTTCTAAATGTAACTAATAATATTCTTAAAGGCAGCTATATAAATATTAAAAATAAAAGGCATTATTTTTAACTAATACCGCCATTTACATGAAATTCAGTGCATGAATATTTTTTAATAATTTTAAAAAAGGAAAAAGGTATAATTACTTTTTAACCAATTAAAAGCTATAAAATTCTTTGTGTTAAGCCCACTAATGTAATTAGCCATGAGGGCATTTTAATAAATTAACTAAATACGACAAGACCAAACAATTTTGGTCGTATTATAATTATTTTATTTAAATAATAATCTAAGTGGAACATTGGAAATATCCGAGTGGATATTAATAAATTAATATTAATAATTGGACGATAATTGCCATTTAAAAGTTTTAATTTTATTAAAAATATATTATTGGGGTGTGACTCAATTATTTTTTTGAAATATATATTATGGCCTTAATTAAAGTTGCAAATATTAATAATTTTAATTATTTAAAAATTAATAATATTTTATTCCTATATCTAACCAAATAACAAAAAGGAAGCCTAAGATTTTCTAGAAGACTAGAATTATTAAATTATTACAATAAGTACGAAAAAAAGACCGAGATGACTCATTGGTGGTAGGCGTTGGAAATAAAGATGTCCACAAGGTTTAAATGGACGATATGGAAGATGAAGCTCGGGGACATGTATGGTTAGGTGCGTAGGAAAGCTCAGACCCAATTCGAGGAAACAGTGAAGTTTTATTGGGTTTTTATGTTCAAGTGCAGGTAGTCTTGTCTATTTCCCGAGCCTTTCTTCGAGATAGTGCCTAGATTCTTCATTTGTTTTCAATCTCCATCTAAGCTAAGTTCTTCATTTATCCTACGTTGGTTGGAGGGTGGATTGTGAGATCCCACATCGGTTGGAGAGTTGCTAGCGGTGGACTTGGGCTACTACAAATGATATTAGAACCAGACACCGAGCGGTGTGCTAGCGAAGATGCTGAACCTCAAGGAAGGTGGATTGTGAGATCCCACGTCGGTTGGAGAGGGGAACGAAGCACTATTTATGAGAATGTGGAAACCTCTCTCTAGCGGACGCGTTTTAATACTTTGAAAAAAAGCTCGAAAAGAAAAGTCGAAAGAGAAGAATATATGTCGGGCTTGGGCTGTTATTCTTTTTCTTTGTAATGGGCTTCATGCTATTGAAGAGGGAGGTGGAAAGAAGGGAGACCATCATGGGCTTGAGTTTAGCTCACTATTCCGGTTTAGAATATCATATTCTTATAATACACGAATTTCTACTATTTGTTACCAAACAGGCTATTTCTTCTCGGTTCGGTTTGGATATCCCGGAACTTTATGGTACAAGAACACCCACTCGAGTGGCAAGTCGTGCACAAAAGTACTTCATTTGCTTGAACTCAATGAATAAGGTGAACGAGCATCCTGATATCACCTGATTTTTGCTTTCTGAAACATACCGACACTCAGATCCCCGTTGTTCGCTCATCAATATATGAGGTATAACTTTTTTGGGGAACGACGGTCAACCATCTACATGCGTTAAACTATGCATCTCACTAAGACTTTCTGACTCGACCATCTTGTACTCACATGAAGAAATTTTTGAAAAAGGTGGTTTCCGTCTTCTCGTCTCGAAGATGACGTTTTCTTTTTTCTCTTGAGGTGTATTGTGGAAGTCTACTACGTTTCCAATTACAAATGTCTACAGGACCGAACAAGGACGGGGAAACTTTCCCATGTCCATCCCTACCACCTATTTCAATCCTCATTCCTATAAAAATCTTAGAAATTCCCCGTGAGAATTTTTCCTAATTTTTTAAATATATATATATATATATATATATTCCTTTAAAAACAATTTCTATTTATCAATATAATTTCTATACAAAATTTAAAATATCTTAACGAGTTTTAAAAAATATTCATATATTTACTAAATAAATAATTAATATATATAGGTCTGGGTGGAGTCAGGGAGAGGACGGGAAATATAATCTCCATCTTTGGTCCCATTTAACCAATGAAGAGAGATCTCTCCCCGCTCCCTTCCCTATTTTCCGTTCAACCAAAAAATTTATATCTCACGAGTTAAATGAGCGTTTCTATTTCTAAGTCGGTTCACATAGCACACCGATATAGAGAAAAAGGTTAAAAGAAAGCACGTGATTGGTGATTCATTTGACTCTCTAAATTGACCTTTTCTCTCCTCTCTTTCTAATAAAATATTTTGGGTGACATCACAAAGCTACAAACACGACCAAACTTTCCTTATGATTAAGGAAAAGGGAAAGGAATCCATGATAAGAGCTTAACATTTTATGGCCAATTTGGATAGGCTTTGATAAGGGAAGTTCCACTACGAGAGAACGAAGCATTTCTTAAAAAGGTGTGGAAAACTCTTCCTAGTAGATGCATTTTAGAATTATGAGGTTGATAGCTATAGATAACAGATCAAAGTGGACAATATTTGCTAGCGGTGAGGTTGGACTGTTACAAATGGTATCAAAGCCAGACAACGAACGGTGTGCCAGCGAGTACACTGGGCCCCCAAAGGGGGTGAATTGTGAGATCCCATATCGGTTGGAGATTGGAACGAAGCATTCCTCATAAAAGTGTGAAAACCTCTCCCTAGTAGACACGTTTTAAAATCGTGAGACTGACAACGATACGTAACGGGCCAAAACGGATAAATTTGCTAGCGGTGGTCTTGAGCTGTTACAAATGGTATCAGAGCCAGACACCGGGCGGTGTGCCATCAAGGACATTAAACCCCAAAAGGGGGAGGATTGTAAGATCCAACATCAATTGGAGATGAGAACGAAGCATTCCTCGTAAGGGTGTGAAAACCTCTCCCTAGTAGATGCGGTTTAAAACCGTGAGACTGACAACGATACGTAACAGCCTAAAGCAGACAATATCTACTAGCGATGAATTTGAGCTGTTACAAATGGTATCAGAGCCAAACATCAGACATTGAGTCAACAAGGACGCTGGTCCCCAAAAGGGGGTGGATTGTAAGATTCCAATCAATTTGAGAAGAGAACGAAACATTCCTCAAATGGGTATGAAAACCTCTCCCTAGTAGACGCGTTCTAAAACCATGAAACTGACAGCGATACATAACAGGCCAAAACGGATAATATCTACTAGCGGTGGGTGGCTACAACAACCGAGAAGGGACACCATGTTGGATGCTTTTAAGTTTTCTTTAAAAAATGGAACATAGCTTTGTGAAATAGCCATAGAAAGTTGATGTTTAGTTGGTTTTGTAATCTTTTTCTTGAAAGGTTCCCTTATCTTGAATAGTTGACGATGAGCAAGAGATGAGTCAGCTTCATCCACCACCTCCTCCTCCAAACATCCCTTTAAATTCACGATCAACTCAATTCATTCATTCCACCAACTTCATATTCTCTCTCTAAATCTCTATTTCTCTCTCTATCTTATCCAAAATGAAAACGACAGTTCAAGAACAGCTGGTCGGAATTCAGCTGAAATCATTGGCTGTCCCACGAGCTAGAATCTTGCCTGAACCTTCAAAGCATCTCCACATATCTTCTTCATCAGACGATGGATGTCAAACAATAAAGAAATGTAAGAAGAACAAAGAAGAAGGATTGTGTCATGAGCTAGCTGTTTGTTCTTGATCTAATTTGCTAATTTGGTTGCTTAAATTGGTGCAGATAATGGGAAGGATTGGATGCTGAATAGAGCCAACAAAAATGGAAGAATGACGAATAATATCATTCATGCGCTCCGAGAATATGGTAAGAATTTGAATCAGGGTTTAGAATTACGATCAAAACCCGACACATGTTAATTGATTTGAGGTACTTCCAAGATGATCATACGAATATAAAGATCTCAAAATCGAAGAACGAGATCTTTGATTTGTTTGCCACCCTTTAATGGTATAGTAGTCTCGATAACAAAGCTGCCTTCAGCCTTTCACTTAGTAAGCTCATCTTTGAGCCTCTACAGAATTCCGCTCGTCCCAGTCCTTAGTAGCATTAACAAAGGAGAACAAACCCTAATTTTGATAGATAGAGAGCTTCCCACTCCACCTTTTATAGTCGTGACTATTGTCATGGAAAAAAGAGTTTGTTTTCATGCATAACAAAGGCTATAGTATAAAGACATTTGATCTGCGTCTAAATAAATTAAGGGTAACGACCTGTAATCTCTCTTCGGTAGATACGCTATCCCTGAATAAAATTGATATTTGACGGATTTCATTCTTAAAAAAACTCAATTTATGGGTCGTTTTTAAATCTTAGTTCAAATCTTAGACATGAATCGTAAACCGATATCTGAGTTTGGATCAATTTTTCGATTTCTGATCGTTTAACCTAAGAATTTGGTTCAGTTTTTCGATTTCTGATCGTTTGACCTCACTTTGCAGTGAAATTTGGAGCCAAAATCTCAGAAACTTTAAAGGGAAAGTTGAGTCTAGGAGCTCGAATTTTGAGAGTTGGTGGACTCATAAAAATTTACAAGAAGCTATTTTCAGTGAACGAAGGAGAGAAGCTTTTGAAGGCTTCACAATGCTATTTGTCAACAACAACTGGGCCTTTGGCTGGCCTTCTCTTCATCTCCACTCATAAGATTGCTTTTTATAGTGACAAACCCCTCAAAGTTCCTTCTTCAAATGGAGATCATCTTAGAATTCACTACAAAGTAAGTTTCTTCCTTATTTATCTTGCCGATCTATCTTGACTCACGATCGGTGAGAATCTCATATTAGTTAGAGAGGAGAACGAAACAACCTTTAGAAGGGTGTGGAAACCTTTCCCTAGCAGACGTGTTGTAAAGTCCTGATGGGAAGCCCAAAGAGGACAATATCTGCTAGCGGTGGACTTGGGCCGTTACAAATGGTATCGGGTCAGACACCGAACTATGTGCCAGCGAGGAGTCTACTCCTTAAAAGGGTAGACACAAGGCGGTGTGCCAGTAAGGACGCTGGCCCTGAAGAGGAGTGGATTGTGAGAATCCCACACATGAGGTGGTGTGCTAGTAAGGATGTTGGGCCTCGAAAGGGGGTGGATTGGGAGAATCCCACATTGGTTGGGGAAGAGAACGAAACACCCTTTTATAAGGGTGTAGAAACCTTTCCCTAGCAGACGCGTTTTAAAGCCTTGATGGAAAACCTAAAGAGGACAATATCTGCTAGCGGTGGGCTTGGGTCGTTACACGATCAAAGCACACCGAAATGAATAACCGAACTAGAATGAAACACTACACTTTCTACACTAACCGAACCAGAATGAATCACCGAACTGTTTCTAGAAATGCTCAACAATTAATAACTTCTCAATGCATGTCTACCAAATCCCATGATTACAACGTGATGCTTAATGTTCGAGTTTGAACAAGTCGAGCTGATTGACTCACATTCTCGTGTATCGGTCTCTTCTTTAGCTAATGATTCCAAAACCCCATGTATTATTCAGGTTACCATTCCACTAGGGCAAATAAGAAGACATTTTGAGAGCAAGAATGTGAAGAATCCATCAGAAAAGTACATAGAGATAGTGACAATGGATGATTTTGAGTTTTGGTTCATGGGGTTCTTCAATTATCACAAGACTTTCAAGTGTCTTGAAGAAGCACTTTCTCAAGCTTACAAACATTGAATAACAAGAGATATCAACAAAAGTTGAAATTTTTGTACAAATTCAAAGTTCAATGAGAAATTTTGTATTTTGTTCTTATTTTTTTTATTCTTAATATCATAGACTCTTATAAATGAATGGAAGTTAAAGTAAATTGTTGTATTCATGATTGAACCAAGTTCGATGATGACAAGAACGATGAGATGCTCGAATACCGAATCTGTTAAACCAAACAAATTGAAAAACTGTGAGATCCCACATCGGTTGAAGAGGAGAACAAAACATTTTTTATAAGGGTGTGGAAATTTTTTACTAACAGACGCGTTTTAAAAATCATGAGGCTGATGACGATATGTAACGAGTCAAAGTGGACAATATCTATTAGTGGTGGGCTTGGATTGTTATAAATGATATTAGAGTCAGTCACTGAACGGTGCGAGGCACTGTTCCAAGTAGGGCTAGACCCTCTCCCGATACGTTATGTGTTGAACACAACTCTCTGTGGGAAACACTCGCACACTTTATTAAGACCAATCGAAAAGAGATTTACAAGACACCCTGTAGAAACTAAGTTTCCTAAATTTATTCATAAAATCCTAAATCATTTTTTAACGTGAATAAAGTCAGTCGATGGTTAGGCTTAGCCCTATTGGACTAGTGATGATATTTTAACATAATGGGTTGAAGCGAACAATATCTACTAATGGTGGGTTTGAGCTGTTACAAAAACTCTTGATTTTGAAGCTAACACTACGTAAACTAAATGAATCCATCAACTCGATTCCATCGATGTCGTTAGTTTTTTTTTTGTTTTTCATTTACACCCCTCGTATTTCGCATGTATCTTACTAATGGGTTTAAAAAACCCTCGTGAATTGACTAGGGTTACAGGAGTGGTTCTGGTTGTATTGACCTCGTAAATTGATTATTGGCCGACAGTCAAAATTGTAATAAATGTACCAAAAGCTTTCATGTACTCGAGTCGTCTTTTCTTGCATCGAACGACCTACTCGTCAATCATATCTCAAACGTCACTTCTACGAAAACAAGTTCCCTTTCCAATTTAAGTATAAAAGGTTTAAAGTAATGGGAGCTGACGTGGGTTCCACGTGGAAATCCAATAAGCATAAACTTCATCCAAATAAGCCTTCTGATTTGAGTTTCTTTGCTTATGCCTTAAGGCAGCTGCAAGCTTTGTATGCATTTTATGAATGCCTTCTATTGGATTATGACCCACCCTAAAGTTTAGGGTTTAATTTAGGATAAGTATGAGACTTTAGTTTAAAAAATTATATTTACATATTAATGCGTGCGTATGATATTATATAGCGATCTCGTAAGTCTTTAATCGAAAGGGTAATTATCTTAAACAGAGTTACGGGAAGATCGTGTTTAAAACATAACTTAAACGGTCTATAGTATATAGATAAAGTTGAATATTTTACTTTGAAAACACTGTTAATATGGTTCACAGTATATCTGTTACAAATGATTTGATTCAAACCATTAATCCGGTGCAATCCAAAAATCTATTAGGTCAGAGAAGTTGGAAGCGTTCTTCTACCATGTTGCTAACTAAGCATTAGAATCTATGTAACAAATACCACACTGGTGTGCAAGTTTTTTTCTTATTTTGTAAATTGTAATAGCAGATATTGTCCGGTTTAGCCTGTTACGTATCGTTGTCAGTCTCACGGTTTTAATACGCGTCTACTAGGGAAGAGTTTCCATCCTTTTATAAAAAATGTTTCGTTCTTCTCTCCAACCAATGTGGAATCTCAGTATCCACACTCCTGGAGGCCAGCGTTCTCACTGGCACACTGCTCAGTGTTTGGCCTTGACACCATTTGTAACAGCTTGAGGTCATTGCTAGCAGACATTGTCCGTTTTAGCCCGTTACGTATCACCATTAGCCTCACAATTTTAATACTCGTCTGCTAGGGAGAGGTTTCCACACTCTTATAAATGGTGTTTTGTTCTCCTCCTCTACCAATGTGGGACATCACAATCTACCCCCCTTCGGGGCCCAGCGTCCTCGCTAGCACTCGTTCCTTTCTCCAATCGATGTGGGGCCCCCTCAGAATCCACCCTCCTTTGGGCCCCAGCATCCTTACGGGCACACCGCCTCGTGTCTATCCCCCTTCGAGGAACAGCGAGAAGACTGGCACATCGTCTAGTGTCTGGCTTTGATACCATTTGTAACGACCCAGATCCACTGCTAGCAGATATTGTCCTCTTCGGGCTTCCCCTCAAGGCTTTAAAACGCATACGCTAGGGGAAGGTTTTCACACCCTTATAAAGGGTGTTTTGTTCTCTTCCCTAACTAATGTGGGACATCACAAAATCTCTCTGTCCCCGTTTTCTACAACCTTATTCTCAAAACAAGGCAAAATGCTTGAGCATACATTACCCAGCCGTAGGCAACACAAATACAAATCGACTTAACTCACTTAGTATTAGGAAAATAGTGTTTTATTCTCCTCCCCAACCAATGTGGGACATCACAAAATCTCTCTGTCCCCGTTTTCTAAAACCTTATTCTCAAAACAGGGCCAAATGTTTGAGCATACATTACCCAGCCGTAGGCAACACAAATACAAATCAACTTAACTCACTTAGTATTAGGAAGTGAGTACCGCACAATCACAAAATCCACTACGACAACTTTTGTAGGTCAACCTGAACATAACTCAACTCGTTAAACTTTTTATAATCATACAAACGAACATATTCCCCTGGAACAAATTGCTTGACAGTTCCATTGGAACGATGCCGTGCAGTTAAACTATCACCGAGCGTCACCAAAACCGTGAAACGGAAGCTATGGTTGGGAGCAAAGCTAGTTCAGATTGGTAGAAGTGAGAAGATCTTTAAGAAGATGTTCAAACTCAGACAAGATGACAAGTTGCTGAGCTCTTCACACTGTTATTTGTCAACAACAGCAGGTCCAATAGCAGGCCTCCTCTTTGTCTCCACCCATGTGGTCGCCTTCTGCAGTGACAGACCAATCATATTCTCTTCTCCACATGAAGAACAGAGCAGAATGAATTACAAAGTATGTATTGACTTTCTGTCACCCTGTCTGTCGGTTTGTTTTTGTGGGTTCTAACATGTTTCCTGCAATGTTTATAGGTTATGATCCCAATGAAGAAGATGAAGAGAGTTAACCAAAGTGAAAATGTAAACAATCCATCAAAAAAGTACATTCAAGTGGTGACTGTTGATGGGTTCGAGTTCTGGTTTATGGGGTTTTTGAGTTATAAGATGGCTTTTAAGTTCCTCGAAAACGGGCTTTCTAAGGATTGAAATAAAGGTCTCGAATGGTACGGACGTCTTTTCTTTTCGACGTATGAAAGATCTTTAATGTAAGAACTCAAGTCCACAGCTAATAGATATTGTCATGTTTGGGCTTTCCCTTTCGAGTTTCCCCTCAAGGTTTTAAAACGCGTCTACTAGAAAGGATGTTTTGTTTTCCTCCCTGACGGATGTGGGATCTTAGAGTCTACCCCCTTTCAGGGTCGAGAGTCCTCGCTTGCACTCGTTCCGCTCTCTAATTGATGTGGGATCTCACAATTCACCCTTCTTTGGAGCCCAGCGTCGTTGTTGGCACTCGTTTCTCTCTCCAATAGATGCGGGGTCTCACAATTTACCCTCATTCAGGGCCCAGCGTCCTCGCTCGTACACTGTTTAATGTTTGGCTTTGATATCATTTGTAACAAACCACTGTCTGATTTGAGCTTTCCCTTTTGGGTTCCCCTCAAGGTTTTAAAATGCGACTGCTAGGGAGAGGTTTCCACACCCTTATAAAGAATGTTTCGTTCCTCCCCAATGGAAAATCCATCCCCCTTCAGAGCCCCGCATTCTCGCTGGCACCTTTTCCCTCCCAAATCGATGTGGGATCTCACAATTCATCCCTGTTCGGGACTCCTAGTGTCACAATCTCCTTTCAAGCATGACTGTGACACCTAGCGTTCTTGCTGGCACACTGAATGGGGTGAACACCGGGTGGAGTGCCAGCGAGAATGTTGACCCAAAAAAGAGGGTGGATTGTGAGATCCTACATCGATTAGAGAGAGGAATGAGTGTCAACGAGGACGCTAGGCCTCCAAGGGAGGTGGATTGTGAAGTCTCCGCTCGGTTGGAGAGAGGAACAAAACATTTTTTATAAGGGCATGAAAATCTCTCTAGCAAACACGTTTTAAAAACCTTGAGGGAAAACCGAATGGGAAAGCCCAAAAAGGATAATATCTACTAACGGGCTCAGAGTTACTTAGAACATAATTTGCTAAAACACCCTGAATTTGAATCATCAGATAGAGCAACATACCTCTGTTGGAAAAACAACGATGGATCTCACCGATGTACGTATAGGAACAAGTAAGCGGAGGTGAATCGAATATAATCATACTCCTTCATCGTCAAACTCAACACTTATGTAGTCATCGGTTCCTACAGGATGACGACACGTAGCTAACTCATCTAACTCGATATGAACATGACTCGAGTCAATAACGACCCGACATGGAGTCAAGTTCTGATCAAACGACCAGACAAAGCACTTATCATATAAACCTTCTTTTGGTGCTAAGTTTAATGAACATGATCTTGGAACTGACACTCTACTATTGCTATAACTTAATCCCTCTACGTCTTTCGCCATCAAAACTAGACGATGTCTACAGCCTAAAAGCTCGGAGACGTATTTCATATCACCTGTCGAAAGGGTGTAGCGAACCCGAGTAGACAACACTTGTCCTTGCTCCTTTGAATTGGTTGAATCCGTAAATTCTTGGTTCTTATCCATCACGGATTTTATGATATAAGCGCCTACCCCGTACTCGGCTGTGTCGCCTGCTGCTTTATATCCAAACCTATAACTTTCACCTGCCACCAAAGGCTACATTTTACAGCAAGTCCAAGAGAGGATATTTTACCGATATGTCGAAATTCATTTACCTGCCACAACTCCACGAACACCGAGCTCGTTCGAGAGTTTCACGACAAATTCTCGTGGAGTTAGATGACGAACACTTGAAAATTGAATCTGATATTCTGATGGAGCCATGTTTCTGCAGAATGGTGCCCACGAGGAAAGAACTCGAGTCCTGTCGCATTGAGCGACTACGGGAGCCCTGTTCGAGTTAACTAACAGATAAATAATTAACTCCAAGCATATAATTCTTGGTGATTGTTAAGAACAGATGCAACAGGTAGAGAAACAGCACGAGACTTGGACGTTGAGCAAGAAAGAATAAGAGGTATGGCATACGGAACTGGTATATGAAATGAAAGGCTGGAACCAGAGCTAGAGATGAGCACTAGCCAATGGTTGATTATGTTTTGCCTCTTCGATGGAGAAAGACGGTCAAACAATTCTAGGTAACAAAAACAATTAAAATGTAATAGCTCGAGTCCACCGCTAGTAGATATTGTCTGTTTTAACCCATTACGCATCGCCATCAGTCTCACGGTTTTAAAACATGTTTAGTAATGAGAGGTTTCCACACCCTTATAAGGAATGCTCCGTTCCCCTCTCCAACCGATGTAGGATCTCACAATCCACCCCCCTTGGGGGCCCAGCCCTCGCTAGCACATCGCCCGGTGTCTAGCTCTGATACCATTTGTAATAGCCCAAGTCCACCACTAGTAGATATTGTTCGCTTTGGCCCATTACGTATGACCGTCAGCCTCACAGTTTTTAAACGCGTCTACTAGGGAGAAGTTTCCACACCCTCGTAAGGAATGCTTCGTTCCCCTCTCCAACCGATGTGGGATCTCACAATCCACCCTCCTTGAGAACCCAGCGTCCTCACTAGCACACCGCCTGGTGTCTAGTTCTAATACCATTTGCAATAGCCCAAGCCCACCGCTAGCAAATATTGTCCGCTTTGGCCTGTTACGTATCGCCGCCAGCCTCACGGTTTTAAAATGCGTCTACTTGGGAAAGATTTTCACGCCCTTATAAGGAATGCTTCGTTCCTCTCTCCAACCGATGTGGAACCTCACAATCCACCCCCTTGGGAGCCCAGCGTCCTAGCTCTGATACCATTTATAACAGCCCAAGCCCACTGCTAGCAGATATTATCCGCTTTGGCCCGTTACGTATCGCCATCAGCCTCACGGTTTCAAAACACGTCACTAGGGAGAGGTTTCCACACCCTTACAAGGAATGTTTTGTTCCTCTCTCCAACCGACGTGGGATCTCACATAAAATGAGCCAACCTTCCACGAAAAAACATGGGATAGTTTCATGAAGTCGACCCACGAAACACATCGGAAACTTATAACACAACGAAAACGGCATAAAATTCATGGTCGGACGTACTTGTCGTGCTGTTTATGATGAAACAAACAATAAGTTACATAAAGAAAAGGCATTATGCGTACCTAGGTTCCCAGCCAAGTACTTGAGCAATTCCAACAAATGACAATAGAAATGGAGATCCAAGCTTTGATGCTTGAATTGCAAGCTCTCGATGACCAACATGGAGAGCATCAAATTTTCCTAACGCTACTATTCCCCCTATGAATGATAACAAATCATTACAAAAATGATCAAATACTAACAAAACTAAAACATAATTGGATAAAATGATGTTTTTCTTTCGTTTGTTTCGGGAAAAGAGCATTTCTCGGACAATGAGATCTTATCTATGTATGTTTTTAGTGGATTTTGATCTGTCGGGACTGACGGGGCCCCCTATGAATCCGTAAATCTCAAGAGCATGCCACAACAAAAGGATGGTCTCCTAAGCCCGAAGAGAAGGAAGAGATCTTCGTGAAGTGGGTTTTTATGATCTATTTGAGTCGATCATTTCCAGATCTAATTCGAGTTGGGGAATGTCCACGTCTCGTCGAAGGCTCATTTTGGGTGGGGAATGGGCATTTTTTTTTCTATCAGTATTGGTGGTTGGATTTCTTATCACAAGACTTGTGATGTATATTGTTCGGTCGAAGAGATCGAAGTGAAGTCATTATTCAACCATGCTTTCTTTCATCACGTTGGAAAAAGAAAAAGGGGCGTGATTTCCATTTAAGTAATACTTTTCAGGCAGTTGTTCTGTTTGTATGACTATTCGGCGAAATCACGTTTAGGCTTGCCCGACCTGAATCGACCCAAAATGTACTATAAGAAGATGCGATCAGTCGTCAACTCCTTCCACTTAGATTTTGTATAATCATGTCTAGGTCTACCAGACCTGAGTCGCCTCAAAATGTACTATAGGAGGATGCGACTAATTGTCAATTCTTCCTACACGAGTTATATGATATTTAAACTATAGTGTTTCTTTCTTTTCTTATAACCCTATAACGACTTTCAAACTTTCTTTCAACCTTCCTATCAAACTCTCTTTCAAAAATCTCTCTACCCCCGTTTTCTAAAACCTTCCTCTCAAAACGAGGCCAGAGGCTTGAACATACGTTGCCTGTTCGACAAAATCATGTATAGGCCTGCCAGACCTGATTCGCTTCAAAATGTACTATAGGGAGATGCAACTAATTGTCAACTCTTCCTACACGAGTGATATGATATTTAAGCTACAGTGTTTCTTTCTTTTCTTATAGTCATATAACGACTCTCAAACTTTCTTTCAACCTTCCTTTCAAACTCTCTTTCGACCCGCATTTTCTAAAACCTTCCTCTCAAAACAGGGCCAGAGGCTTAAGCATACATTGTTCGACCGTAGGCAACACAGATCCAAATTGGCTTGACTCACTCTGGAGCAGGTGCAGCACAACCGTAAAAGTCAGCTACTAAGAAAAGTGCGAGTGTGACACTTGGCTCCCAAAATAAAACCCAAATTCATGTATTGTATATAGATTAAGACAACTTTGAACCAGCATTACAAGAACACAACCATATATAGACAACCCAAAAGGACTAAAAACTTCCCTCACATAAAACACGCAGAAAAAACTCAGACAAAGATACGAATTAACATTCTTCCTTAAAATTAACGAGGAGCAAACAAACCTGTCACAGAGACTACCCGACCACCTCCTCGATAACTGGGAAACAAAGAAACAACAGGTAATTTTAGAAAGCAACACAGACAACAATCAAAGAACAAAATTGAAAGTTACCCAAAACAATCGGAAAGAATGGGGGGTTCGCCGGCGGCGAAGGAGGGGACAATGGAGCAAAAGAAAGAGTACCCACGTCGTTGGGAGCGGTGAGAAATTGAAGGGGAAGAAGTGGGCTTCCGAGGCCATATCGGAGGAAAGGGGACGACGGCGGAAGAGGAGGAGGAGGGAAGGCCTGAGTTTAACCGGAAGCCGAAGTGGCAGTCGCACTCCCGAAGGTGGTGGGAAACGCGAGCGCCGGCGGCCAACATCGTCGGCCGGTTTGTACGGAATGGGGGCGGCAACCGGAAAGTAGGGGAGGAATTAGAGGCACAGAGTTTGTCTGTTGCCTTCTCAACGCTGTAATTTTAACGCATTTATCTCTTTTTTAATACGGTTTTTCATTTTTTTTCCCTTTTTTTTTTCTTTTTTTTTTCAACGAAATTAGAGAAATTATTTAGAGAAAAAAAAAATTAACATTCTTAATATATATATATATTTTTTTTTTGTAATTTAGGGAAATTATTCCCGAACATTGTAATTTGTTTAAAAAATTCGGTATTATTTTTTAACTTTTCAAAAAAAATTAGAAAATATTAGATAGAAATTTTTACTCTAAATTTTTAAAATACAGTAAATAATTGAGTATAATTTTCATAATTATATAATAAAAACTTTATTTTGAAAATTATAATTTCAGTCAATTATTTACTTTATTTTGAGTGAATCAACAAAAATAAATAAATTTTGAGTGAATGGTTAAATTAGGTAAGTTATCCATAGTTACCTTAAAAGCCTCTTATCCCAAAAAGGGGTCCAATTATTGGCCTGTAAAAAAAATTTAAATCAAAATATTATTATTTTAATAATTATAAAAAAAATATATAAAGCTTACTCCAAAAAAAAAACATCCTTGTACAATAACTTTGTTCGTACTATAAATTTTGATTTATAAATAGTGTAGTCAGTTCACACATGATGAATAGGTAAATTTGGTATAAGTGATAATGAGTGAGAGTAGTATATGGTGCACAAATTCAATCTCGTGATAGATAATATACTCATAGACTCGTAATAATATGACCAAGACGCACGTTACGATCAAGTAAAGTTATAATTGGTATATTATAACAGCCCACTTCTAACATAATATTGTCCTATTTGGGCTTTTCCTTTCAAGTTTTCTCTCAAAGTTTTTAAAATGCATCTAAGGGAGAGGTTTAAGTTGTAACAGTCTGAAATCTGTATGTTAGGGAGAGGTTTAAGTTGTAACAGTTTGAAATGTGTTGGTTAGGGAGAGGTTTAAGTTGTAACAGCCTAAAATGCGTATGCTAGGGAGAGGTTTAAGTTGTAACAACGTCGGTTAGGGAGAGGTTTAAGTTGTAACAGCCTAAAATGCGTCTGCTAGGGAAAGGTTTAAGTTGTAACAGCCTAAAATGCGTCTATAGGGAGAGGTTTAAGTTGTAACAGTCTGAAATACGTCTCTAGGGAGAGGTTTAAGTTGTGTTTAAGTTGTAACAGTCTGAAATGTGTTTGTTAGGGAGAGGTTTAAGTTGTGTTTAAGTTGTAACAGTCTGAAATGTGTTTGTTAGGGGGAGGTTAAGTTGTAATAGTCTGAAATGTGTTTGCTAGGGAGAGGTTTAAGTTGTAACAGCCTAAAATGCATATGCTAGAGAGAGGTTTCAATTGTAACAACCTGAAATGCATTTGCTAACGGATAAGCTAGGGAGTACGTCTGCTAACAGATAACTAGTATATTGTAACGGCCTAAAATGGAAAGCCCATATATTGGACTTAAGTTGTTATATATTTGCTGCAAAAATTCAATCTCGCGATAGGTAATATATTTCATAGACTCATAATAACATGACCAAGGCGCACATCACAATTAAATAAAACTAACATAACTAATAATAAATGAGAGTATTACAAGTACAAAAATTAAATCTCGTGATAGATACTAGACTCATAGACTCGTAATAACATGGCCAGGACACACGTCACGATTAAGTAAAGCGACATAACTAATAATAAGCAAGAGTAGTATATGGTACAAAAATTCAATCTCGCAATAGATAATATATTCAAAAACTCATAATAATATGATCAGGACGCACGTCACAATTAAGTAAAGCTGCATAACTAGAAATAAACAATAGTATATGGTACAAAAATTGAATCCCGTAATAGATAATATATTCATAGACTCGTAATAACACTTTATATATATATATATAGATATTTAATAGAGAGATTGATAAGTAGGGAAAAAGATACACATATTAGAGAGTGGACTTCACAGGTAATAAATCACTTGAAGCCCCCTCAAAAATTTTGTAATGAAAAAAAGTAAGAACAGAGCTCCTGCAGCAGTTTCTCCTTGCAACTATTGGCATCACAGACCATATTTGTGCTTGAGAAAAGCCTTTGTTTCTTGATTTAACCCATCATTTACATGTTCCCCAAACATCACCAATCTCTCAGATCAAACAGTATATTGTGTACTATTAACTTTATTTCATATTCTTTGTTTTTTGTTGTTTTTTTTTTTTTTTTCTTATTAGCTATATCCTCGTGCTGTTCCNTTTTTTTTTTTTTTTTTTTTTTTTTTTTTCTTATTAGCTATATCCTCGTGCTGTTCCTCCTTCCCCACCATTTCCTTTTCACTCTATCCATGGCACCGTCATTCCCGATCTTATTTAAAATCACTTTCGTTTCGCGTAGTCGTCCCCCGTAATCTTTCTTCCATGCATCAAACATTTGTTTCAACCTTCTGAATTCCCTATCTGGGTCGATACTTGCCTCAACTTGACCGGATTTTACCTCTACTAAGAACTTTGCATCATCGCCGAAGACTTGACTTCGTTGGTCGAATTCTTCGGCTAATCGGCTAATGACACTAAGACCTGCATTCATTGGTCTTACTCCATTGATTTCATTAGTTGTGTTGTTGGTACCCAATTCCCAGCTGTATCCTCTTTCGTGGCTTGCATTGACTGATACGTCGTAATTTCTATCTGAATCATCAACTGATAAGCTTTTCTTTGCAATGGAGAGGCTAGATTGCAGGGATCTCATTTGTTTCTGCCACATCTCTTCCATTGACTTCATTTTCAGTTCATACTCTGACCATCGGTTCTCGTACTGTTGAACGCGTTGATGGAGGATGTCGTTTTCTTCTTCTTTATCTCTCAAAGTGGCCTCAGCCTTCATGACACGGCGTTGTAATTCCGCAAGGAATGATGACTTGACAAGCACATCCCCTGATCCATTTCCCTGTTGGGAATTCAAGATGAGTAATCATATTCGACAAACCTATGAAAGGATATAAGTAAGGAATACATCTCCATTGGTACGAGGCTTTTTGGGAAACCAAAAGCAAAGTCAAGAGAGCTTATGCTCAAAGTGGATAATATCATATAATTGTGGGTTGTCGTGATTACTAACATGGTATCAGAGTCATGTCCTTAGCCATATTAAAAGAATCCTCAAATGTCGAACAAAGAAGTTGCTAGCCTCAAAGGTGTAGTAAAAAAGTGACTCAAGTGACGAACAAAAGGTGTACCTTGTTCGAGAGCTCCAAAGAAAGAAGTCGAGCCTCGATTAAATTAAGGAGAGATTGTTCGAAGGCTACATAGGTTTCAGGGGAGGCTCTATGGCGTACTTTGTTCAAGGGGAGAATTGCACGTTGGCTAATTAAGGGGATGATCATGGGTTTATAAGTAAGGAATACATCTCCATTGATATGAGGCTTTATGGGGAAATCAAAAGCAAAGCAGCCATAAGAGCTTATGCTCAAAGTGGACAATATCATACCATTACGGAGACTCGTGATTCCTAACAATAGTAAATTATACTATTAGACAAAGTTGAAGTAGGACCAGTATGGAAAGATGCTTGAAAGTTTAGGCAACCAGAAGATTTGAAAGAAAAAATTGATAATCAGAGAATGAACAGATAAATATCAAAATGGTGAAAGTTTACCGAAAGACCACCAGGACTCATCAATCCTATATTTCCGGAGCATCCTCTTACCAACCAACCACGGATAACTGAAAGGTAGCATACATTAGACCAGATTAGTAAATGCAATAAGAACTCATGAAAAACAGAAATACGGCCGTAGATGTCCGGACCTGGCAGAGTAATCCACATTCCAGTAAGAAGCTGGTCAATTTTTTATTTTATTTTACTAGACTCTGTAGTTCTGTAAATGCTTTATTTGATATAAGAAAAACAACTGAATTTTTTGGTTTATTTTACCGGACTCTGTAGTTCTATACATGCTTTACTTGTTATAGACTCAGCTGGTTTTATGTATCCAGGTCAGTACACGAAACTCCTGTAACAGCCTAAGCTCACTGCTAGCAGATATTGTCCTCTTTCGGGCTTCTCCCAAAGTTTTTAAAACGCGTCTGCTAGAGAGAGAGGTTTCCACACCCTTATAAGGAATAATTCGTTCACCTCTCTAACCGATGTGGGATCTCACAATCCACCCTCTTGGGGGCCCAGCATCCTCACTGGCACACCACCCTATGTCTAGTTCTGATACCATTTGTAACAGACCAAATCCTCCGCTAGCATATATTGTCCTCTTTGGGTTTTCCCTTTCGGGCTCCCCTCAAGGTTTTTAAAACGCGTCTGCTAGAGAGAGGTTTCCACACCCTTATAAAGAATGCTTCGTTCCCCTCTCCAACAGACGTGGGATCTCACAACTCCAGTTCCATAACCTCCCTAGCAAAAAGTGCACAAAGCATTGTAATTAAATTCAAGGGCTTAGAGTGGGCATGCTTGCATCAAACTCTATAGAATATGAACTGTTTTTAGTTGCTTCCTTGTGAAATCATAAATCCAGTAGAACATCTGATTACCTGATTGTATCACGACTGATGCATCACAAACCTCCTTCGAACGTTTTCTAGCAATTCTGGCTTTCTGATACTTCTGAATAGAAATAGCAGCCCTATGCCTTCGTAACAAGATAGCATACTCTTTTCTGGTTTTCTCCCCACGTACAACTGCATGAGAAATTAGAATAGTTCAAATCTGTATCCCAAGAACTAGAAGGTGGTTGGTTCTATGTTGACGAGGGAGGTTAATACATGACTGAAGAGTGGAAATCCCTTTTCTCAGCTCTTTGATGTGGCAACGAGCCAGGTGCCCTCTAAAACAGCTTTGAACACAGAGGATTCCGTGAAGGGTGCGGTTTCTTGTATCTTCAAGCACTCCAATCTGCCAGATTGTTTTTATAAAAATTGGATTATCACAATAGTTAGTATTTCATGCTATATATACTTCCACACAACAAAATTCAACTAAGAATAATAGAGAGATTAAGTTATA